GAAGCTATCTGGGGCCTCCCCCTCCTCCTGCCTGCTCCCTCATGCACATCATCCGCCTCCTCCTTCTCTCTTCCATCTTTTCCTCCTCCTCCTCCTCCTCCTCCTCCTCCTCGTCCACCTTCTCTTCATCCCGAACGGCATCTCGGAGCCTAGAGTTGCGAGGATGTCTCCAGCGTAACGGGCTGGACCACCTCGCGCGCGGCATCTCGGACCCCAGAGTTGCGACGATGTCTCGGGCGAAACGTGGTGCGAGGAAGTCTCAGGCGAAACGGGCGGACCACCTCGAGCGCGGCGTCTCAGAGCTCCGAGTTGCGGGGGCCTCCTGGTGCCTCCTGGTGCCTCCTCCTGGGGACCTCCTGGAGCTTCCTCCTGGGCCTCCTGTGGCCTCGTGAACTCCACCTGGGGTTTCCTGAAGCCTCTTGGGGCTCCCAGGGGGGATATCTAACCTGTGGCCGTTTGGGCCTCTCCAAATGGAGGGGGGGGCACAAGAGCAGGAAAAATCAACGAATCGACACCGGATGTGTATTAACTTGACACGTTCTGATAGGCGGCCTCCTGGGGCCTCCTGGGAGCCTCCTGGGAATCTCCTGGAGACCCCTGGGGCCTGTCCTGGGCGTCCTGCGGCCTCCTGGTGTCCTCCTGGGGCCTCCTGGGGACCTCCTGGAGCTTCCTCCTGGGCCTCCTGTGGCCTCCTGAACTCCACCTGAGGTTTCCTGAAGCATCTTGGGGCTCCCAGGGGGGATATCTAACCTGTGGCCGCTTGGGCCCCTCAAAATGGAGGGGGGGGCACAAGAGCAGGAAAAATCAACGAATCGACACCGGATGTGTATTAACTTGACACGTTCTGATAGGGGCCTCCTGGGGCCTCCTGGGAGCCTCCTGGGAATCTCCTGGGGGCCCCTGGGGCCTGTCCTGGGCGTCCTGCGGCCTCCTGGACCTCTCTGGGGCCTCCTGAGGCTCGCAGGGTCCCATGGAGGATATGTAACATGTGGTCTTCTGGGCGCCCAGGCTGGACCACCTCTTCGCGCAGCATCTGAGAGCTCAGAGTTGCGAGAATGTCTTGTGCGAAACAGGCCGGACCACCTTGCGCACGGCATCTCAGAGCTCAGAGTTGCAAGGATGTCTCAGGCAAGACGGGCCGGACCACCTCGCGCAGGGCATCTCAGAGCTCAGAAGTTCGAGGATGTCTCTGGCGAAACGGGACGGACCACCTCTCGCGCGGCATCTCCGAAGTCAGAGTTTCGAGGACGTCTCAGGCGAAACGGGCCGGACCACCTCGCGCAAGGCATCGCAGAACTCAGAGTTTCGAGGATGTCTCAGGCGAAACGGCCCGGACCACCTCTCGCACGGCACCTCGGGGCTCAGAGTTTCGAGGATGTCTCAAGCGAAACGGCCCGGACCACCTCTCGCGCGGCGTCCCGGAGCGCAACTTTTCGAGGATGTCTCAGGCGAAACGGCCAATCCCGGCCAACTCAGAAACGAGAGTTGTGAGGATGTCTCAAGCGAAACGGCCAAAACCATAAAATTTGTGTGAGGATGTCTCTGCTCCGCCTTCCCTCGGCCGGAGTTAATTTCTATCACAACAGCACCCCGTTCAGCAAGCTGTTTGGGGAAAAATCGTGACGTCGGATGTCTGGGGAGGGCGGAAGGCAGTGCGCGCATGACGGATGCTGAGGCGGCAGAAACGACGACGGCGGGGACGGGGAGGCGGAGGCAGAGGCGCAGCAGCGGGAGGCGGGAGGCGGGAGGAGGGAAGAGGAACCAGGCGGGAAGTGGGAAGAGGGAGGCGGGAGAAGGAATGAGAGAGGTTGTGATTGGAGCTCCTGTGCTACGAAACGTCTCAGGCAGAATGGGCCAGACCATCTCGCGCGCAACATCTTCGAGCCTCGCATTGCGAGGATGGCTCAATCGAAACGGGCTGGACCACCTCGCGAGCGACATCTTGGAGCTCAGTATTGGAAGGATATCTCAAACGAAACGGGCCGGACAATCTGTCGCACACGTTTTGAAAGTCCACATCGCACTCGCTTCACGTTAGGTCCTCTCCTGCAACTCCCTTCCTTCTCCCTCCTCCTCCTCCTCCTCCCCCTCCTCCTGCTTGCTCCCTCATGCACATCATCCGCCTCCTCTTTCTCCCTTCCATCTCCTTTTCCTCCTCCTCCTCCTCCTCCTCCTCGACCTCCTCTTCATCGCGAACGGCATCTCGGAGCCTAGAGTTGCGAGGATGTCTCCAGCGTAACGGGCTGGACCACCTCGCGCGCGGCATCTCGGACCCCAGAGTTGCGACGATTTCTCGGGCAAACGTGCTGCGAGGAAGTCTCAGGCGAAACGGGCCGGACCACCTCGAGCGCGGCGTCTCAGAGCTCCGAGTTGCGGGGGCCTCCTGGTGCCTCCTGGGGCCTCCTGGGGCTTCCTCCTGGGGCTTCCTCCTGGGCCTCCTGTGGCCTCCTGGGGTTTCCTGAAGCCTCTTGGGGCTCCCAGGGGGGATATCTAACCTGTGGCCGTTTGGGCCTCTCCAAATGGAGGGGGGGGGGCACAAGAGCAGGAAGAATCAACGAATCGACACCGGATGTGTATTAACTTGACACGTTCTGATAGGCAGCCTCCTGGGGCCTCCTGGGAGCCTCCTAGGAATCTCCTGGGGACCCCTGGGGCCTGTCCTGGGCGTCCTGCGGCCTCCTGGAGCTCTCTGGGGCCTCCCCCTCCTCCTGCCTGCTCCCTCATGCGCATCATCCGCCTCCTCCTTCTCCTTTCCATCTCCTCCTCCTCCTCCTCCTCCTCCTCCTCCTCCTCCTCCTCCACCTCCTCTTCATCCCGAACGGCATCTCGGAGCCTAGAGTTGCGAGGATGTCTCCAGCGTAACGGGCTGGACCACCTCGCGCGCGGCATCTCGGACCCCAGAGTTGCGACGATGTCTCTGGCGAAACGTGGTGCGAGGAAGTCTCAGGCGAAACGGGCCGGACCACCTCGAGCGCGGCGTCTCAGAGCTCCGAGTTGCGGGGGCCTCCTGGGGCCTCCTGGGACCTCCTGGTGACCTCCTGGGGCTTCCTCCTGGGCCTCCTGTGGCCTCGTGAACTCCACCTGGGGTTTCCTGAAGCCTCTTGGGGCTCCCAGGGGGGATATCTAACCTGTGGCCGTTTGGGCCTCTCCAAATGGAGGGGGGGGGGGCACAAGAGCAGGAAAAATCAACGAATCGACACCGGATGTGTATTAACTTGACACGTTCTGATAGGCGGCCTCCTGGGGCCTCCTGGGAGCCTCCTGGGAATCTCCTGGAGACCCCTGGGGCCTGTCCTGGGCGTCCTGCGGCCTCCTGGTGCCTCCTGGGGCCTCCTGGGGACCTCCTGGAGCTTCCTCCTGGGCCTCCTGTGGCCTCCTGAACTCCACCTGAGGTTTCCTGGAGCCTCTTGGGGCTCCCAGGGGGGATATCTAACCTGTGGCCCCTTGGGCCCCTCAAAATGGAGGGGGGGCACAAGAGCAAGAAGACTCAACGAATCGACACCGGATGTGTATTAACTTGACACGTTCTGATAGAGGGCCTCCTGGGGCCTCCCGGGAGCCTCCTGGGAATCTCCTGGGGGCCCCTGGGGCCTGTCCTGGGCGTCCTGCGGCCTCCTGGACCTCTCTGGGGCCTCCTGAGGCTCGCAGGGTCCCATGGAGGATATGTAACATGTGGTCTTCTGGGCGCCCAGGCTGGACCACCTTTCGCGCAGCATCTGAGAGCTCAGAGTTGCGAGAATGTCTTGTGCGAAACAGGCCGGACCACCTTGCGCACGGCATCTCAGAGCTCAGAGTTGCAAGGATTGAGTTCGTTTCGTTGGGGGCTGAGAATAAGATGAGCGCTCGCTGTCTGCTTCTATTTAACGCCGTTTAAAGCAATTTAAAGGTCATTTAAGGTTGCACATCGCACGCGCCCGCGGCGGCAGCGGGCACGGCCCTTCGGACAAAATCATGTACATGCTCGTATATACGAGGCTACGTCTAACGGTTTCAGTTACACTTGGTAGCGACCCATATTTGCGACGACGCAGTTCAATGCAGAAGAGAAGAGGGGCCCTTGCATCCAAAAATACGGCGGGCGCATTTTTTTATCCTATCACCCTGGGGCTTTGTCATGCAGCAACAAATTCAGAGGCCGACTTACGGACCAGCAAACAGTGCTTGCGCGGACCCGCAGCCCGCCAGGACCAGACCCCGAAGCGCGACCACCGTCACACCGCGCTCTGCCCGACCACGGGCCTGGGGTCCACGATCCTGGCCACTCTGGCGGCCCTGCCACACTCCTGAGCTTCAGCAGCGCTGGCAAAGCCGAAAGAGCCTAGGGTTCCCTCAAGCCCAGGGCGGAACAGCCTCACTGGGGCAGGCGGGACGGGTGCCCGTCCCCGCACCTCCAGGGGCTCCACAGCGGGGGCTCGAGAGTCCACAGGGGCCCCAATGACCTCCCTGTCCTCCGTGCCCGCAAACTTGCCAAGCGCCTCGGCCCACCTGGCACGGGTGGCCGCAGAGGGCCGAGCCAACTGGTCAATCGGCAGCTTGAGTTTTGGCAGAAGCGCAAAACGCGCGCCCTGACATTTTAGAGGCTGAGGCTTGGTCACAGGGCGCGCGGCGCCCGCGACTATGCGCCCCTCCCCCATGCAAAGATGTCGTTTTATCGTAACGCGCCCGCTGGGGCGTTCTGGGCGGCATAATTGCGTTTCTCGATTTTCAGGCTGCCTCAGGCGTTGACATGCCCATCCAAGACGGCCCCAAGGTGGCCCCAGGAGAACCCAAGACAGCCCGAGGTGGCCCCTGCAGGGCCCCGAGGGCGCGAAACCACGCATCGCCACATAAAGCCAAATATAGCAAGGACTGGCCGCACGCATCGCTCTTGAACTGATTCGCCTCGGATCGCGTCTCTCGAAAGTGCCCCAAAACTCACCGCGCCCACGTGCGCAGCAAGAGCACTCATGCAAATCCATCACTGGCGCCCCACCGCAATGGGACAATCGCGAGCTTTGCATTCAGTCATCCAACTTGCCGAACAACTCCGTGGCCTTGTCCTCGGCCCGGCGCTTCTTGTCCTCCTTCGTCTCCCCGGGCCCCCCTGCAACGGGCCCGGGGCCCGCTCCGTCGGCGGCCTCCTTCGGGCCGCCAGAGGAGAGCTTCAACTGCGTGAACGGCCTCTCCAGCGTCTCCCCCGTGGCTGGCCCAGTGGTCAACCGGATTATGGCCGCGCTCGGCTTGACCGCCAGGACCTCTGCCGTGTGGCCGTCGTACTTCTCCTTGAACTTGGTGGCGCTGAGGGTGACGAACGCCCCGACGACGATGTCCTGCGCCCCCGCCGCGGGGCTGCCATCGGCGACCTCTGCCTTCGTGGATCCTGCTGCACTCCCGCTGGCACTCTCCGCCTGGGCCTGGCGAGCGGCCTGCCTCCGCTTCGCCTCCTCCCGGCGCAGCCTGATCTGCTGCCGCACCTCGTCGCTCAGGCCGTCTGACGCTTGGCCCCCGCCTGCCGGCGCAGGGCCCCCTGCCGGCCCGCCGGGCGTCGCAGGGGCCTCTCCTGCAGGGCCGACGTTGGCGCCGACGGCAGCCAACTCCTGGATGCAGAACAAGTCGGCGTTGGCACTCTTCTTGGCCTTGCGCATGTAGGTCCCGGCCATGACGCACAGTGCGTCGTGCTGGCGCGCATTGGCGACGGTCAATATCGCCCCCTTGTCGCTGTCCGCAATTCGTTCGAGCTTGCAACCCAAGCGCAGGCAGCACATCTCCGCCAAGGCCCGCTTGGTGACGGGGCGCGCCTCGAGCTCCTTGACGCGGCTGAGATCCTTCAGCGCGCCCGAGGCGACCTTCGAAGGCAACTTATCCACGTCGAAGCCAATCCCGAACAAAGCCGTTGCCGCTGCAAGCACCGCCTGCGCCGAAATCTCGGCCCACTCCGCCTTGGCCCTGAAGAAGGGGATGAGCTTGCACCACTCGTGGGTCGGCCCCCACGCCTCCAGCCTGGCCAAGCGGTCAGGCGCATCCTCGAGCAACCAACGGAGGCGCGCTTCACCGCCCGCTTTGGCGATGAACACCATTGCAAACTCCAAGAGGTTCTTCTTCTCTGGGTCCTGGGCGCCCTCCAGGAGCATCGCCAAGCGCGCCGGGCTCCGCTCGCACAGGGGCCCCTTCGCGCCCATGGCCTCCGCGAGCCTGTTCCCCCAACGTCCCTCGAGGAAGGAGGCGTACAAGGGCGATAGAAAGAATGCTGACCTCATCGAGAGATCCAACGCCTTCACCAGCTCGTGGTCCATGATGTCCGCGCCGTTCTTGTCCGACTCCTCCACTGCGCGATTGAAGTCCCCGATCACCTTCCCCAGGGGCGGGATGAGCCCTGGGACCTCTGCCTCGATGGCCACAAGTGTGTCAGGCAAATCAGCGAGCCCCGGCCACACTGGCATTTTGAGCAGCTCTTGCACCAAGAACTTCGGGTACAACTTGTTGTGCGGACCGAGGCCCTCCAGAAATTCGGCAGCACATTGCTCCTTCCGCGCTGCCTTCAACTGCTGGATGGTGTGATGCCAGGACTTGACCAGGAAGCGCACGCTGCGGGGGTTCATGGTGTCATTCGTGGTAATCAGCTTGTTATTGAGCGCCTCCTTCGTCGCCTTGGCAATGTGCTCTGCGCGTTGCTCTTCTGATTCGCTGTCGTGCCGCGCCAGGCACTTTTTCCGGGCCGTGTCCACCTGGGCCGCGTCCACCTCGGCGGGCTGCGTTGATTCCTTGGCATCCGGAGGTTTCTGCGGAGGCGCTGCACCACGTGGCCCGCCCGAGCCCTCCAAAGGGAGCACCCCCGGCGCCCGCGGGTCTGGCATCTTCTTCCACTCCTGCCGCACTCCCGATGTCAAGGTCCGGCTGCCTATAAGGGCGTCCGTAACCCCGCCCTTGTAGCCCCGAGAAAGGTGCGCTGGCACGTAACACAAAGTTCGGAAACTGTCGTAACGCAGCGCCCTCTGTCGGAACGCGCAAGATGGGGGGGGCAACGAGTGCATCATGCCTGCCTTGCGTGGCCTTCGTGCGCTGAGGTCGGGCCCCAGAAAGCGACCGACCCCTACGCAGCATGACTACAAGGGCACGTTCAAAAAATTAGGTTCGAGAGTGATTCCTAGGAATCTATTCCTGCAAATGGTTTTCGCCGCCCGTGGCGCCTGGGCCCAATTCCACCTGCGGGTACGCCCCGTCCAAGACCCAGTACTCGTCCGCATCCAAGTCCTCCGGCCATGCTCTCAACGACCGCGGGTCCACGAAGAACCGGGCCGCCTTCTCGCCCAACTCCTCCTGCAACTTCGGGCGGATGCTCTTGGCGAGGAGCCAGAAGGATTGCTGGATCTGGCAGTAACTCTTCACTGAGGCGCGCCAGTGCTTGAACTCTCTGGTCGATGCGCGGCCGCCTTCATTGGCCTTCGACGCCCTGAGAGCGCAATAGACCTTGATGTCGGCCTCCTGGACCCCATCGGGACCGCACTGTTTTTCGAGCCGCTTCGTTGCGGCGACCCTGTCCTCTGCCTTGACGACCACGTCGCGCATGGTTTGCGCGACGCTGTCCTCGGTGAGCATCTTTCCACGGGCTTGGCCGCTCAGGCCGGACTCGGGAGGCCCGGCAGCCGGGAGGGCAAGTGACCTGGAGCCAACAAGGCGGCGAACACTAGCATGCCAACGTGTACTTGTGCGTGCAGTGATGTGTATGCAGTGACGTGCACGTGCAGACGTGTACTTGTCTGCGCATGGCATGCGCGTAGACATGTCAGCGCAGGGCGGCGGGGCATGCGGAGCACAAGGGATAGGCACGCGAGGGAGCACCCTGGGGGCAGCACCTCCTCCGAGCCCCGGGGGACCCTGGAGGCTCTCCACCCCACCGGCGGATGGATCTCGCGCCGTGGGCTCCGCTCTCCCCCATTTCTCGGCCGTCGTCTTGGACGACGCCGTCGTTTTTTTTTCTTCTCGGCCCCCGGCTCCTCCGATGCTTCTCGTCCTCGTGGAGCCCCGGGGGCCGGGGGGCATCCGGCCCGGGCCGGGCTCCGAAGGCCTGGCGGCGGAGGACAACGACTGACCTCGAGGCCAAAAAAACACTTCGCAACAGCCTCAAGACGTGCGTGCTGGTAGGCAACGGAAAGTTCGGAAATTGTCGTAACGGGCCGCTCTCCTTCGGCACGCGCAGGTGTACGCAAGTCTATCAGTATCCGTGTAATGCAATTGGTGCATGCACTTGTTTGTTCATAGAAGCGTGTTCGTCCAGGGCGACGGCGCCGGCGCCGCCTCTGTCCCCAACCAACAGGTTGGGCTTGGTAGATTTCTTATGACAAGTTCCCCGGCCACACCCCCGCCCTGCATACCGCGGCCGCCAGACCCCAAGTTGTCCCGAGTGCCCCCCAGAATCCCAAAAATCCCGCTTCCCCCCGGCCACGCCCCCACCCTGCATACCGCGGCCGCCGCGCCCCAAGTTGTCCCGAGTGTCCCCGAGAACCCTACGAATCCCGCCACGCGGCTTCAACGAACAAAGATCGGGCGGGGACCGCTCGGACATATTTTTTGGGGTGGGTGGACACACGCAGGAACAACATAAACAACGACACAGCAGAGCGGAAGCCTCAACGAGCAGGCGGCCTCGACCCCCCGCCGTCAAATTCGAATGGCAAAGGCGGCCTGGCGGAGAAGCGCTCTGAGCGCAAGGGATACGCGCCTCGCACAAATCATATAACAAGCATGCCGGGCGAGCCCGACGAAACTTCATTTGGCGCCGCCGCCGGGTCTGATATTAAGTGGCAAACTACGGCAACCTAAGCGAGCAACGTTCCAAACTTGTGGACTTGTCGTAACGCGCCGCCTCCTTCCATGTTATGCTACGCGTTGTTGTTGTTGTCGTTGTTGTTGTTGGTTTTGTTATTGTGATTGTTGTCGTTGTTGTTGTTGTTGTTGTTGGTGTGGTTGTTGTTGTTAGTGTTGTCGTTGTTGGTATGGGTGTTACTGTTGGTATGGTATGTGTTGTTGTTGTTGCTGTTGTTGTCGTTGTATGTGTTGTTGCTGTGTTGTTATCGTATGCCTCCGGCGCCTCCCCGCGTCTCCTCGAAGTGCCCACGTGGCCCCGGCAGGGCGCATGAGGTCTCCAACCTCCTCACGCAGCCCGCCTCTTCCACCCCCGGATCGGGATGAGCCGCGCGCCCTGCCAACCCTTCACGTGGTACTCCGAAGCCGCCAGCATAGAATCAACTAGGAACACATCTGAGAGACGCCTCTGGTGCACTGCCATTACGCATCGAAGCTGGCCCTCTCTCTTGCGCAGAGACTGCCTGCACTGGGTGGCGCACGCGGCTAAACTAAATACCCCACTTTCGAGGAGTGGGCTCACCCCCTTCGCGTCGTAAGGCACAGAGAAAACGTGCAGGCTCACGCTAACGCGCTCCATCATGGGCGGCACCTCCAATCCCAGAGCCGAACGTACATCTGCCCAACGCTGCGGGGAAAGGTCGTAAACCTCGGGGCCGCACTGGACACGCACAGCGGGAGCCAGATGCAGGGGCGCCCATCGGGGATGCTAGCCCTGAGGAGGATGAGCGAGGATACAAAGGACAATGGAGGATGAGGGAGGATGAGGGGGGATAAGGGGGGAGGACGGAGGACGCCAACCCCAGGAACGTGAAAGAAAACACCAAGGATGCAAAGGTGCCCTGCAAGACTTACACATCCTTGCACGCGGCGCCCCCATCTGGCCGTTACGTCAAATGGTGAACTTTGCTGAGTGCGCACCGCACTCATGTTTAATGTTTGTGTCATATTTTCCGGCCCGGGAACCCGCACACCTCTCCCCAGCGGGTTCTCGGCGAACGCCGTGGCCAGGATCGGCGGGATGTCGAGCGCGGGCATGAATCTCTTCCCCAGGGAGCCCACTGCCACGAAGCTGCGATGGCCGGCGAGGTCGCGACCGACGTCTCGCGCGGCGTCGTCCAGTGACTGGTGAAATGGGACACCGGAGCGCTTGAGCATCGTATCTCCTTTTGGCAGCCTTAGATACACTTGGAGGGCACGCCGGCCTGACAGAGCGGATCGGGCGCGATGCTGCGCCAGCCGCTGGTTGTACAAGCCGTTGAGAAACTCCTGCGTGAGGTCTGCGCCCTCGGGGTTAAGGTACAAAGTAACCTTCTCGCGCCACTGATCTTTCATCAAGATGATGGAGTCGTGGTAGGCGGCCGCCTCGGCCACTGAGCAGAACGCAGGCGACGCACCTAATGGGAGCACCTTCGGGACATGCGCTGCGTAACGCCCCCCTTCGAGCCGAACTCCGGAACTACTGTACACAAGGCCTGCCTTCAAGAGAACGACGCCTGAGCCCAACTCAGGAATGCACATCCCGTCGATGAAGTTGATATCAGTCCCACATTGCTGCCCCCTGCGCTGGCCAACCAGCAGTGGGCGCCGCAACGAACCATCAACGTCATGGTCGCACCGGAGGTCCTGCAGCACATCATTGAGCAAGTCCATGTCTTTCTTTCCGAACACATGCTCGCTCCGGCACCGCTCTACGAGCGGCTCGAACTCTCGAAGGTTCCGCGCCTCGAACGCAAGATGAACGCGATGGACCAAGGCATGCCGATACTTGTCCTGGCGGTCCTTTGCCTGCTGCCGCGCTGAAAGCACGTCTGCAAGCACATCTTCCACGTCCACGTCGCTATCGGCTGAGCTGTCACCGGGTTCAGACCCCATGAAGGACGTTTGGCACGGAAAGCGGCCCCGACTTGAGCCAACTCGCTTGGGCCAAAGGCTGCGGCCACCTCCGTCCGTCCGTCCCCCCACCCATCCGTCCACGAGTGCAAAGATCTGAGATTGTCGTAACGCCCCGCGTTGGGATAGCCTGTGCCGCCGCGCGGTGTCTCCACAATGTGTCCTGCAATTGTTTTAAATGCCCTTAAATTGCCTTAAATGGCTCTGAACTGCATGAAACAGCTCTCGAATGTTATTTAGTGCTGTTTTAAGTTGTTTAAGCTTATTTAGCGTCGTTTTAGGTTGTTTAAGGTTGTTTTTTGGTGTGGGTGGACACACGCAGAAACCGCATCATTCTCCACCCGACAGGTTGGGTTCTTAGATTTCTTAGAACAGACCCCCCTGCCACACCACAGCCCTGCATACCGCGGCCGCCAAACCCCAAGTTGTCCCGAGTGTCCCCGAGAATCCCGGGGATCCCGCCTCATCCGCAAACCCCCGAGCGAGCCCGACGAAGCCCCATTTGACGCCGCCGCCGGGTCTGAGATCAAGTGACAAACTACGGCAACGTAAGCAAGCAACGTGTAAAACTTGTGGACTTGTCGTAACGCGCCGCCTCCTTCCATGTTATGTTATGTGTTGTTGTGGTTGTTGTTGTTGGTAGTGTTGTCGTTGTCAGTAGTGGTGTTGTTGTTATTGTTGTTACTGTTGTTATGTGATGTGTTGTTGTCGTTGTCGTTGTAGTTGTTGTTGTTGTGTTGTTATCGTCTACCTCAGGAGCCTCCATGTTGTTGTTGTTATTGTTGTTGTTGTCGTTCTTGTTGTTGCAGTTGTTATTGTTGTTGTTGGTGTTGTTGTTATTGTTGTCTTTGGTTTCTCGTTTCTCATTGCAGGCGCGGCCGGGGGCAGACCCCGCCCGCTGCAGCGCGCAATTCCCCGCCTTCGCGTTTTAAAAATTGCAGCCACCGGGGTGCAGTGCCGATGAAGGAACAAGCGAAAACACGCAAGGGTGGAGGAAGAGACGAGGGGAGGAGGAAGAGCCGAGGGGAGGGAGGGAAGAGGAAGTAATAATGGAGACGAGGGGAAGCCTAAGGACAGGCGAACACTCACGCCGAAGAGGCGCCACGACATGGCAGCGGAACTAAGCAAGCAACGTGTCAAACT